CAGGGGAAACCGAGCAGGCCTCACTCGCCCAGTCGTCTGCTGCACCCTCGCCTAGGGGCTGCAGAAGTGCCGGCCCGAGCAGAAGACAAAAGCATCCCTGCTCCCTGCTCCCTGCTCTCTGCTCCTTTCTTTCCCTGCCCCCCCCCCAGACATGATCGCGTCGTAAAATAATCAGGACGGGAGGTTTCTGGTCAATTTCGGCCTCGGGGGGCCCTCGCCGGGCCTCGCGACCGTCAAGAAACGACTCAGGATGAGGAGAAACCGGTCCCGGGGAACGGGTCGGGACTTCCAGGGAACCCCGTATGGAAAAACTCAGGACGTCGCATGTCTGGGCCCTCTCCCCCGGCTGCCTCTGCAGACTCCGAGGCTGGGCTCTACCCACATCCACCGCCTGGGGAACCGATCTTCTTGGACCTCGGGAGGCGGCGGAAGTGCGGATCCATCTGGGCCCCCTCCGGGGCCCGAGTAGATCCACATCCGCCGCCCTTCCGGGCAGGACGACGATTCCCCGGGCGGTGGATCGGTGCCAATCCCGGCCTCGCACAGACGCCTCGGAGGCCCCAGAGGTCCCCGGGTGCCTCTGGGAGCTCCCAGAGGCCCGAGCCAGAAAGGTGCAGAATTAAGTCGGGCACGTCCCTCTGCAGGAGGGGTATCCAAAAATAGTCCAAACAATAGTCAGGGGCCGATTTTTCACAGTTTTGGCACATTTTGGGAATATTTTTTTAACTATTTTTTATTTTTCGTCCAAAACCTCCCGACCTGAGTGCAGAAGCGTCGCTCCTCGATCCTCGATGCCTCGATCCTGGCCGCTGAGCGAAGGCGAGGGGCGCCCAAGGGATATGATGGGTCTTGGGCCCGGGGGCTGTCGCGAGGGCCAGTCCTGCAGCCCGAGTCGTTTCGTGGACGGCCCCCCGGGGCCCGTGAAGTTTGGGAGCGGTTGGCCTGTCGCGCCTTCCTCTTTTCCCTTTGAGGCGTGCTCGCTCGCTCGTATCACGGAGAAGCGGAGGAAGGGGAGACGGGGGCAGTCAGCTCGGGACGAGCAGAGACTGTGAGTCGGAGACCACGGGCGTACCGAATGGCGTGAGTGGGAACTGCTGAATTCCTGGGTGCGCAGCAGAATTTTTCCAGAAAAGTGGTTGCGAACCTGAGGATGTGGGCAAACTGCAGCTTTCCGTAATGAAATGCCATCTGAGCGGGCGAGAATTCAGGGATCTACATGGGTGCCTGCCGAAGCGGTGTGAGGGCCTTGTGGCCCATCTCGGAGCCACCTCGGACTGTCCTCGGGGCGTCTTGGGACTGCCGCTCGCCCGTTTGCACGCTTGGGTGAACGTTGAAAAGGCTCCCTGGAGAGCTGGAATTCCTGGGTGGCCCTGTTGAGGAGCGTCCAGACTGTGTCCCCGGGCTGTCATGGAGTTGCCTATGGGCAGTTTGGGAGTCGTCTAGGGCCCTCATGGCGCCTTCCTGAAGAGTGAGGATGCTCATTTGGTTCGTGTTGGGGCCTCCCCTGGCCTTCAGGGCGCCGCCCATGGGCAGTGGGGCCGTCCCAGGCCCTCGTGGGGCCGCTCTGGGGATTCAGGAAGCACGTTTGGGTTTAGTTGGAGCGGTGTTCGCAGCTTTGACAATGTTTTCGGACGCCCGGCAGGCCGAAGGAACGAAAGGTAGTAACTAAACCTTACAACATCATTGAAGCATCAGTGTTTTTCGGGTTCGAGCGCGTCTTGGAGGTACCTTGCGGGTCCCCTCAGGGCATCCGACGAGGGCCAAGGCCAATTTGATGCCATTTTGGACCGTCTTGGGCGTGTCTTGGGCCTTCCGCTGACCGCCTTGGGGTCAGTTTTGGGCGGTCATGGGGCCGCTGTTGGGCAGTTTAGGAGCCGTCTTGGGCCCCCGTACGGCTTTTCTGGAGTCGGGAAAGGTTTTTCGGTGCCTCGCCTGCGTTCTCGGACGCCTGGCAAGCCGAATGAGGACAGTCGAAAAGCATACAACAACCATAGGGAAATCAAGATTTTCAGGATTTCGAGCGCCTATTGGAGGTGACATTCGAAGCGCCTTTGAGCATCCAGCAAGGGCCTGGAACGCATGATGCCATCTTGGACAGTTTGTGGCGTCTCTAAGGCCTTGCGCCAGCCGTCGTGGGGTCAGTTTTGGGCGGTCATGGGGACTCTTGTGGGCAGTTTGGGGGCCGCTTCGGGCGTTCATGGGGCTCATTTGGGCCGTCTAGGAGAGGTTGTCAGTGCGTTTGCAACGTTCTCGGACTCGTGGAAGGCCGAATTAGCGAGTATCCGAAAATCATACAACAACCAATGAAACATCGATGTTACTGGGGTTCGAACGCCTCTTTGGGGTGACATTGGGGTGATCTTCGGGCATCCGGCGGGGATCAAGGCTAGCTGGATGCCATCCTGGACCGGCTTGGGCGGCTCTTGAGTTTTTCGCCGATCGATTTGGGACTGCCACCCGCCTGCGTGCACGCCTTGGCAAGGATTTCCGGTCCCCCCCCGTGCCACGGATCCAGGGGGTCCCGTTTCGTTTTTTTGTTGCCCCCCCCCCTGGATTACAAACATATAGAAAAAGGGCACACACATACATATACATAAACATATATATATATATATATATGTATATTCACACATTTTTTGCGAGATGGGTACACTGGATGTTCGGGTCGGACGCGCGCCTCCAAGGAGGACATCTAGCACTGGCATGTCTCCGTGCGTCCCATGCTGGGCCAGGAACTTGGGCTCAGCGTGTCGCGCCGCCTGCTCCGGCCCACCATGATCTGGCGCGACACGCCGTCCACGGCCCCCAGTCCCCACGCTTTCACGTCCCCGGCCCGCGCAGCTGGGCGACACGCGATCCGCTCGCAGGGCATCGCGTATCGCAGGGGCCGCCGCCGCGACGCGCCAAGCAACAGTACGCGACCGTATCCCCATCCGCTGTGGGGCAGGGCTCCGCAGTGCCACCGGCCTTTGCCCCCTCGACGTGGGTATGCGTGCCGCGAAGACCGACGGAGACGGCATCTACCCCTTGGAACGGGCGGGGGGGCGGAGATGGTCCAGCGGCGGTTCTGGCCAGCAGAAGGGGGGAGAGGGGCCCCCTCGTCGCAACGGTTGGACGCGGCTCGAAAAGCTGGTCAGTTTTGACAATGGGAGGGGTCTGGTGACCGATTTTGAGCGAATTTGCCATCACCCCCCTTTTGATTGAGTTTCTCTGGACTTATCCAGCTCGGACCCACTGGCCACCAGCGATGCCATCCCGCGGGACGGCAGGGCCAAGGCTCTTCGTTATGGGGGTGGAGGCAGGTCTGACGGTGCTGATGCCGGCGGTGGGGGGTCAGGGGCCCAGCAGTGCAGAGTGACCTTCCGCCGGAGTGGCCTGCTGGTGCGGGCCCAGGCGGGGTCCCCCGCTCGCGGAGCGCGAAGCGGCAGCACCGGCCCGCGCGCCTGGGATTGGCCACCCCGCGTTCCCCTTGGAGCCGCGCGCCACAGGTCACTCTTGCCCACAGGGCCCCTCCTGCGTGTCGCCGAAATGGTCTTTGATCGGTGTCGTTTAATCAATCCCCTTCCCCGTCCCCATCCCCTTCGAGACCCTCACCAAATGACCCCCCAGTTGGGGATACACCCCTCGAAACCCGACGGGAACGGCCTACATCCCCATCTAGGGGGGTTAAATCGGCCAGTGGGGCCCAGGCCACGCCGCTGGGGAGAAGGGGTCGGTTAAACGATAATCATTTGAGTGACAGAGACTTGGCACGAGCGTGCGCTCTCGGAGGTCCGTGCCGATGGCTCGCATCGGCCCTGGGGCCTCCCTCCCTCGGCGCGCCCCAGGGGCGGCGCCGGGGGGCGCCCAGATCCGGCCCGAGGCTTACGATGCTCCAGCCTTTTTTAGCTCTGATCGCCAGAATTTCGAGCACCGAGAGAGTATCGGCACTGGACGGTTGTCGCGTGCCGGGCCCTGGGAGGCGATGCTGGTGCGGCACCTCGCCAGCCTGTCGGGCAGACACAACTTCGATACGTTTCGGGGTGCTCGAAAGCATGTTTGGGACGTGGTCCTCGGGTACGATGGGGACAGCATAGCCCGAGTCGGCGATCGACGTTCGATGCACGTAGGAGACCACATGCGAACCCTACCCCTACCCCCCACGATTTCTGAGGGGGAGGGTGGGGTTCACTTCGTTCGGGAGCTCTCGAGCGAAGTGACCCCCCCCCGTCCCCCTCAGAAATCGTGGGGGGTAGGGGTAGGGTTCGCAGGTGGCCCCCTTAGCACGCCCGTGCTGCCGCCCCCCGTTCTGGGCGCCAGGAGGAGAGGGGCGTGGCCGAAGGGCTCGGCGCCCGGGGCAAAGTCCTTGTAGTCAACCCGCACAGTAAGGAAGTCGCAGGTCTAGAGGTCGACACCAACAGCCAATCTCGGCGGTGTGCCTCCACCGAGGGAAGGAGATCCCAACCTCGGTGGTGGTGGTAATATTCTGGCTTCCGGTGTGGCCGAACTATGACTCGCCAACACCGAAGTCTAGGGTCGTCTTCCCCTTCGGTGATGGTGGTAATGTTCTGGCTTCCAAGGTGGCCGAACTATTACCGCCCACACGAAAGTCTAGGACCGTCTTCCCCCTGTGGAGGCAGCCCCCCTGTGCTGGTGCCGGTGCCCATATCCAGGCCTCCAGGTCAGGAAGGGCAATTTTCCCGAGGGTACCCTTGCATCCTTGCCTCCCTTGTCCTTCCATTCGCCACCTTCTTTGGCCGCGCCCAGCTCGAAAAGCCTCGACAGGGGCGTCCAAGGCCCCTGCATCCTTATCACGCATCCCTGCGATGCGGGCCGACTGTATCCGTGCCCACGTTCTGGCCCCGCGACGGGATTCTGGGCGTGCGCAAGGGCGTGGGCACGCCGCGGGCCGCCTGCAGCAGGAAAACGTCCCCGCGGACCTCCGCAGGCGTAAAGTGTAGGCTGTTCCCTCCTGCCGTTTCGCTGGCCGTGTCGCCCCGTCCTCGACCTCGCCCCGCCAGGCCAGCGACAGGATCGACACGCTGAAGGCAGACATCGAGAAGTACATCACGGACGCCGCGGGCCTGGCCAAGGAGATGGCCTTCATCGCTGCTCCGCATCCTCCCGCCTCGGCCCTCAAGTTTGGTGTTTCATGTTGACAGAAACTGTATTTCCCTGAGCTCCCACTTCTGACGTTTTTTTGGATCCCCCCGACTGATGCCCATGATGTTTTTTCAATTCAAGTGCCCCCCCCCTTAGGGCTCGCGCCTTCTTTTCATGAGGGGGAGTCTTCCTGCCCCGTGGGTCCCAGTCCATGACAACAGCAACAACAATAAACACCACAACCACAACCGCAACCGCAAACACAACAACAACAGCAGCAGCAACAGCAGCAGCAGTAACCACCACCACCACCGCCACCACCACCGCCACCATCACCACAACCACCACAACCACCACCAACAACAACAACGGCTCTAGCCAGATACCTCTTTTTCAATTCTTGATGCTTCGCGCATCCCCACCAGCGCACGACCTCACCGATGACCACACGCAGGCTCTCCGCTCATCCGTCAAACATTTCGCCACGGCGGTACAAGGCCCACCTGGCACAGGGAAAACACGTTTCGCCGCCGCACTACCCAGGCTCTGGGCACATGTCGCGGGACTCGGTTCCACGATTCTCGCCGTCGCTGGCTCCAACACAGCAGCAGACCAAACAGCCGTCGCCCTCGAAACAGCACACAGAGAGGGCCGCCTCGAAAACTTTCTGCAATACCGAGCTGCGCTGTACGACTTTCAGAGGACGAGCGCATTACACACCCTGGCGCTCACAAGTTGTCCGCCACCAGTCACTATCGACGTGCATGGAACACCGAGCCCAACAGGTCCAACAAGAGCAAGAGTTGGTGGAAGTTCAAAGACGACTTCAGCAGCAAATGCAGTATTAGCATCGCGACCCACGAAGGCTCCTTGAGGCTCGACCAGCCCAGCGCACCCAAGGTGATCTTCGGTATCATCGACGAGGCGGGCCAGGTCAACGAGGTCTCTGCTGCCATCTCCATCGGCATCATGGTCGACTGTGGCGCCCACATCGTCCTCGTGGGCGATCCCAAGCAGCTCCAGCCAACAGTGCAGTCCCGGTACGCAGAATACTTGGGGCTACAAGTTTCCCTTTGCGAGAAAATTCAAGACTCCCTGGGCGAGGACAGCCCTGCCACAGTACTTCTCACAAAGTACTTCAGGTGCCACCCCGACGTCCTTGGCTTTTCCAGGTTCGCTTACTCCGGCAAGAAGATCGTGTCAGGCCTCGTCACACCACTGCATGAACGTCCCATTGTCAACGGGCTTCCGTGGGCCAAGCACCGTCCACTGGACAACGAGCGGCTGGATTCTGTCGCCAAAAAACTGGGAAAATGCGTGGTCGAATTCAGGGGCGAGATCAGCGACCTACAAACCGAGTGGATGATGCCTGGAGACGTCCACCGTGTGCTCATGATCGACAACCCACATGCTGACATCACCTCCAATGCCAAGAGCGGCTATGCCAACCTCCACGAGGCTGCCACATGCCTTGAAGTAGTTCGCGCGCTTGGCCCCGCCATGCTTAACTCTGGACTAACCGTCAAAGTGATCGCCCCCTACGCTGTGCAGCGGGCCGCATTGTACGGCGGGTGGCCACAGGGCAAGAGTGGTTTCTGGAAGAACGCCGCTCTGGCTGAATCGAGGCAGGGTAAGAAAAACCGAGGCACTACAGCGGCTTCAGAGCCAAATCCACTGGGTCAGTCATCCACTCCCTTCTCCCCATTTTATTCCCACCCACGCGCGGTTAGCGCGCGCACCCGCTCTGCTCCTCCTGCCCGCGCCTCCGGCCTGGGCGCTGACTGCCCACTCGATGGTCCCCCGACAGCCGACAACGGTTTGGCACTTTCATTCAAGGGATTGGCCGAAACGTTCCCTGACCTGATGGAGACTGGTCAGCTCCCCCTCTCAACGTTTGTCACCAGTCAGGGAGGAGAAGCTGACGTAGTCATCTACCTTACCACGCGCTCCAAGGGGTCCTACGACTGGGATTTCCTTGACGCGCCAAACAGGACCAGCGTCGCCCTGACCAGAGCTAAACGGTTCGTGGTCCTCATCGGAGACCGGCGGATGTTCAAGGCTGCGACCGAGTCTGCTCTTCGGACCCTCGCCGAATACGGCGTGGCCGCAGACCTCTGGGTGAGACCTGCCTCCGCTGAGCCTTGGGAAGAGCGCGACAGGGGATGGGGGCCCAGTAGCCCGCGAGCTCACTGGGATGCATCTGCTGAAATCGGGACCGCCATGCCGGGCAGCAACCCAACCGCAACAACGCCGGGCGCTGCGCTCAGCGCCCAGAAGCAGAAGGTGAAAATGCGAGTGGATCAGGCCAAAGGTTTCCTCTACAGCGTCGACAGGCCGCTACCGGAAGGGTTTGAATGGAGGGCCCTGGCGAAGCAGCTCATCAACTCGCTAAGAGCGCTCCTGGCCCCACCTGCTCTCCTTCCTGTCCTCCACAGTGTTTCTGGCCTTCGCCCGCGCGCCCTCAGCCCTCCGCAACGCCCCAGCGATCCCAATCTTTACGACATGGAGGCGTGGGGCCACAAAGGGTTCATCCATGATGTTACGGTTGGAACTGATGCCGGCAATCTGACATGCAACATTCTGTGGGCGTGCGTGATGCGCGCGGTCGGGCTTGGCCACGAGTGGGGCGACGGCAGCACCTCGCTCCCGGTGGCCAACCTGCCTGAAAGGCCAAAAGGCTGCCTGCAGAAGCGCGCGTCCAAGGACTGTCGGGGCTCGCCAGCTGGCATGGGCGAGCAGCTACCCGCAGTATGGAGTGCCGCGACGACACAGTGTCCACTGCGCCAACTTCGCCCAGGGATGGACGGCGTGGAAAACATCATCAAAGGCGACTACATACCTACTGACCCCACCGCGCGCGCTCAGACCTGCACTGCCCTCGTGATGATGATGCTAGCGCTTCGGGAACCAAGGACTTGTCTCTTTCCATTCTCCGAACTTGAAGGGGCAGGGGATATCGTGGAGGCCGTCCTGGGGATATGCAAACCTGGCAGTTCTACCAGCGCCGCGTCCGTTGCAGGGGGCCTTCATTTCCGGGCGCAGCTTGGTCTGACATGGAATATTTCCAATCGCGACTACCAGAACCTGCATTGGAGATTTACCGACGCGCTAGGACACGTGAGCGTGCTTAGAAGCATCAGCCACCACCACGATGTTTCGAAACAAGCGGGATGTCCGTCAACGTGGGAAGCATGCTAGCGTTTTGACTTTCACATCAAAGGGATCTTGCCGGTGATCGACCAGCTCATCGAACCGCTCCAATGTCCGCTGGCTCCTACGGATGATCAGCCAGACAGCGAGACAACCAGCTGCACCGTCTGCTGGCTCTACAAATCCATCACAGGGAATCACAAGCATCTCGGGTGCACGCCGGGCCAGAAGCTGCACTATGCGGGCGCGGGGCGAGCGATGGACCAGAAGGACCTTCTCATACCTGAACCCCTGCAGCGAAACTTGGCGCCACAATGGCACCGAAAAGGCTTCGAACAGGAGACCAGTGCTTCTCGCCGTCGCAGAATACTGCCAGCTTCTACTGCGACGGGTGTCAGAGAGGCCCCTCCACAAACATCGATGGCACCTGGGAGGACAAAGATATGCGTCAACGTCTGGCTACGGCGAGGCTTGCAGGGTGGCGCGAGGGACTCGACTGCCGTTGGCTGCGCACTGGGTGCTGGGTGGAGAGCCTCGAGAAGCAAGCTGCTGATGCCCCCGCAGGCGACTCGATGCGCGAAAAGCTGGCCAACCTCCGGAATATCATGCCCAGCAGGACCACAGCCTTCAGTCTGACACCGCCTGTGCACCTCCCGACTGGGCTTGCCAAAATCGCCAACCCAACCGCCGACTGCCTGCTACGCGACCTCCTTCTCACACCTGACTCGGCCAACGATCCCAGGGTGACAGGCGTGCCAAAGCCCCCAACGCGACCCGACGACGACCGCTTCGGCGCAGATGGGTCCAGGTGCTACCTGCGACGGCTGCCCAGAGCCCAAGTTGCTATGCGGGCAGCCAGCGGTCGGATGCTTCGTCTGGCCACCGACGCCTGGCAGGGAGGACGCCGAGCAGTGCGACCTACCTCACTGGGGCAACTGGGTCGACTGCTGGACGAGTGGCGAATGGAATGCTGGGTGGTACTGCGGGAGTTGTCTTGCTCGCATCTTTAACGCTGCTCCATCCGTCATCAACCGCGTCCTTGCGCGAGACGCGACATTGATGTATCCGGCCTCCCCCGCAGCGCGGACATCCCAGAAGAGCAGAGAGGGCGCGGGGGGCCTCGCCCTAGCACTTGGCAAAGAAGGAAGGGCGCAGGTACCGCGCGGCGACGACGACGATGGGTGCCGGTCACCATTTGAGACGTCGCCACTGCCCGCGCCCAATCCATAACGATTTGACGCAATCAAGGGAACGCCTCCGAACATCAAGATCCCGCAACTGCCAGACGTGGCCGTCAGCAGGCTCGACCTTTTCTTCCAGGCGTGGACTGGCGACAGCAGCGGCGCACGGGGGCGCGCCCCAGTTGAAATGTCCCTGCGCCTCAGACGCATCGACGCAGTTGCCAGCTACATCTTCTACGTGCTTGCGAACCAGTACGAGGTGCCAGACAAAGGGTTGGACGTCAACTGGCTCGCCGTTCTGGCCTGCTCTACCCTGGCCTGGACGTTCCCTCCGACGGGATTCACTGCCGACGGATTGGTGCCAGGCGCGGAATGGGATGGTAAAAGATGGGCCGCTGGACTGGTCGTGCAACGCCTCGTCGGGAAGGGCGATCGGCTAAAGTGACTGCGGGTGGCACGCGTCAGCGAAACCCTCCACGGGGACAAGGGCCCGAGGTTCCACGGCGCAGGGGAACTTGCTCACTGGCTGGCCAGACTTGACATCGAGGACGCCCCCGACCATGTGATACGACTGGGCGACGTTCGCTTGGGAACGGACAGAAGCGCGCTCCCGCGCGGGATAGGATCTCGGCGAATCGCCCCAAACCGTGCCGTACACAATTCAA